TAATTTAGTCACTTAACAAACTTCACAGAACCATTCTTCAAGATCTGACTCAATTAATTCACTGGGCCTACTTCTCTTTCCTCTCCATCAGCCCACAGGGAAGGAGCTGCCATCAGCTCCACAGGGAAGGAACTTTCATGAGCAAAAAACTAGCGACTTGAGTTGTGGATATACAGTTTAGCTGCACACAGGCTCTCTTTACATCAGGATTAAAATTCTAGGTATTGGGTTTATATTTTGTGAGTCTTTGGCCTCACTAAGAACCTTTCTCTGTGTGCTTTATACAATACATTTGTCAGCATATTGAATACAGCACTTTATGAAACATGGATACCATGTTAGTCATATACACACTATGACAACACTAGCCTGTGGGCTTTTACATACACAATTTCCAGGCTGTCTGACTTTCTAACCCTATGTAAGTCTCATTTTAAAAGTCAAGCTAGAAATCCCTTCTAGTGAAGAATAGAATTCTGTTTTAAATATATTTCATGGTTCTATCCATTGTTTTACTTTCCTATAAAGTACTGCCTTGTGCTTTATTTTTTTATAGGTAGAAGAAATGACTGTGTTGATCACTATGAAATACCTGGCATATTTCTTCCTGTTTATCTGCCATATTGAACACTTAATAAAACCTATTCATGAGACAAGAGGTTTCATTGTAAATAGCAACAGCGACTCTGATTATATTCTACAGGTCAAATCTCTAGATGCTGCACATATGAATGAGGAATTATGTAGTTGTTGACCAAAAATACAACCACACACGTTATTGGTGCCTGAAAATATCAGAGAAACTCCGGCTTAAAGAACTGGGTAAGAACAGAAATACAAGGCTTAAAGAACTGGGTGAATACAGAACAGAAATAAAATATTTGAATAACTAAAAAAAGATAAAACTAATAAGGCAGATAGAGTATGAAAAACATAATTATCGTCGATTTGTTTTCCAAAAATAGGGAGCAGTCACCTAAAATTAAGGAAGGTTTCTTCTTGTATTCTGGTTCTTTCACTAATAATGGATGGGTTGTCTAGACATCCAGAGTTCCATCTGTTTCTCACTGTTGCAAATTACAGGCAATCTTGTTAGAAAAAAAACCTAACACTTTCTATTCTATGCTCTTCAAATTTGCATCATTATCCTCCTGCTCTTTGTCTTTTCTAGCCTGTTTCTCTTTATCCTCTTTTCCTTTTTGTCTGCTCTTTCATATATTTTTTCTCTTCTTTACAACAATGGATCTGTCTATCACCTACCCATATCTCTATCATCTATTATCCAGCGATTATCTACTCATCATCAATCAACTTGTTTATCTTTCATTATATGCCATTGCTCATCCATCTATATGTGAATCTGTATATCAGTTCATCTCTCTGCTGGTCATCTTTCTTTCTATTACCTACAAATCTAAATGTAAAATTGCACTTGCAACTTAATGCAAATGCATCTGAGATGTGAACCATCAGTTACATATTTACCATGGTCCTCTTGGGTGTCCTGAGGAGATTTGAGATAAGATTCCCAGCAGAAATATTGCATGAACACCGTGCTTTCACACACTAGTCATTGACTTTATTTTTATCACACTGGTTTTCTTGTGCCTTCACTTGTCTGATTACCAGGGACATACCCTAGCTAAATTATTATCTTCCAACTCTTGACATATCTGATTCCATGCTGTCAATAGAACTAATAAACAACATGACAATCATAGAATACTAATTATTAATCTGTATTTCTTAATTATCCATTACATTCTAAATGAGTTACATAAATATAATACCTCAAACGAGAATAGAAATATATATATATACAGTATAACAAAATTAAGTTTAAACTTGTATTAATAAACTAAAATCCATATCAATGTAAAATATTTTTATTTTTACAATTTGCTCTTTAAAAGTAGATTCAATAATCTACCCTTTCATCCTATCATATCTATATCATATCCTTTTTCTTCTTTAGAAAAAGATTGCATTTATAATCAACCCGATTTAAATAAAAATATTGGTTTTTCTCTGTCCTACACCAGAGGGCTCTTCTAATATGGGACAAAAGAATCTCCCAACTTTTTTTTTTAAGCAATGTTTGGGTTTAGAGAAGTAGTGAGCCAATTCCATCTTCAAAGCCAGCTTGGTATATTTGGGAATTTGGGTGTAGCTTCTCATACTACTTCCTGCTGGATGGGGGCACTGTATCTTATGGGGACACAAAGAAAATTTTAGGATTATGGAGTAGTCTGTGAGTGTGTATTGTCTGAGCCAGTTGCCTTGAAACCATCCTGGATGTTGGATCATCTGGGCCATAGTGCCATCAGAGACCTTTCAGCGGGTCTTGGCTGGTCAAACCTGATGTATCTTAATCTGGAACAAATCCATAGCCTCTGGTTTTATGTGGAACAAAAGCAGAGCCTCCTTTCCAAAGCAACAAGTAACCATTCCAAGTTTTGTCCTTCAGCATCTAACTTACCTCTGCTTTCCTCCTGCTAACAGCAGACTCTGATTCCATCTTCACCCAGAGTTTCCATGACTCCTTCAAACATCAGTTCAGCAGTCTCTCAGGGTCTTCTGCTCCATGCCTTCTATCCTGCCCTACATGATTTCTCCCTATTTGAAGAGGAGCCCCTTCTGCCCTTTGGGTATGGTAATGTACTCACTACTGTCACATTATCTTACCCCTCTTTCCTTTCCTCCCCTCCCCTCCTTCACTTGCTCACCAGGTGTAAACACACATCAGACAACTGCATGCCAGAGTGGGGAGGAACCTTGCAGATGTTAAGGCAAACAAGCCAGATGTAAAAGTCATATATCTATCCATTGCATTTCAAGACATAAGCAGATATGAAGTACTGATAGCATGGAGGGAGGCACACTTAGGAGATGAACTCTGTAGAAACCAAAGAAGAGATGGTTAGAGCAAGAGGTAGATCAATCTCAGAGGAAGGAATTAGGAAAGATGGACCAGGTTCTCAGCAAATTCCTGTTTCCTCAAGGAGTCATTAAACTATGGTGTTCATATATGTACACTACAAGTAAGCTATATTTTAAAATATCAAGCACTTGTAAAACTAAAGAACATCAAAGAAAAAACTAAAATGAAGGAAACAAAAAACAACTAGACAAAACCATGATGAAACCATTTCCCAGTTCTTGTACATGTCCATACTCTGTTAACCCACTTCTACAAAGAGTAGCCTCCATCTCTCTCTGTCTCTCTGTCTCACTCTCTCTGTGTCTCTGTGTCTCTGTCTCTCTCTCTCTCTCTCTCTCTCTCTCTCTCTCTCTCTCTCTCTCTCTCCCCTAGAATCTATGGCCTACATAGATGTAATCTTCAATATGACAGTCATGACAAGCTCCACAATAGCCATAAATTCATCAAATGACATTGTCTTCAAGTCACAGCCTGGCTGTGTAGCACAGGTTGGTGCCAAAGTCACCATCCAGCAGGCCTTCCTGAAGGCTAGGCTTTCAGAACTGCCAGTACACCAAGCTTTCCATGGCTTCTTTAAACCTTGCAGTCTCTGCCCACCAAGGCCTAAAATTCATTAGCCAACATCCTCAATGAGCTCCAGCTCTAGCATGAGATCTGGATCCTCTTCTGCTGGAGTCTGTCCCTGGATCACATGCTGAACTCATTCCCCCACTGTCCCCGCTGTGTGTCTTCTGTGAACCCCATAACCATTTCTCCTGCAGCCTTGTGTCTCTGTCATCCCCCACTGGGTTCCTGCTCTCCTCATTAGATCTCCTCCTCAGCTGTCAGCCAATCATTTCTCTTGCTGTCAACACTCCTTATTTACCAGGTTTTCTGGGCCAGCTCCATTCAGAAGTGACAGTTTCCTCCCCTGCCTTCACTTGGCTTCCCAAAACCTCCTTCCAACTGCCAGCCAAGGTCCCACAGATGTGATATCTCACAAGTGCCTTAAATTCCCCAAGGTAGGACTGAACCCCACTTCCAAAGTCTGTCTTCCTCTAGATGCCCCACTCATGCTTATGCCATCCCATGGGTCCAACTCCAAGCCTGCCCTGTCACAGACTTGACAACCCCTATTCCTCAGCCCCTGGATCTCTGAAACCCCACATTCCTGTGCACATGGCCATCACCCTCTCGTTGTCATTGGAAGTGAGCAGGCCCCAAACATTAACTGACCTCCCCGCTGTTACCAGCCTTGTAACTCCTTCACTTTACCTTCTGAGCCTGGCTTTGATCGTGTCATTGTTCTGCCCAAAACACCCAGGGAGTTCTCCCTTTACTCAAAAGCAGGTCTGTTCTTTCTTCCCACACCCGACAATGGACAGCATGGCTCTGAAGGGCCATGTCAACACAAATCTGCCATCCTTTTCAAATATCAACCACAAATCCCAATGGACAGGACTGCTCACCGATGCAAGAACCCTTCCCCATGGAACTCTCCTTGGGCTTCTTTGTAAGTCATTATAAGTCACCTCAAGTGGGACTCTTCTTTCCAAGAAACCCACAGTGCCCTGTATTTATCTCCTAAAGAATAGAATGGACTCTGCCTCATCGAAATTGGTGCTCATTTTCTGTATGATCTCCAGGCACAAAAGGTCAAATTTCCATCTGCCATGGTATATTATTGTTAGGCAAAGCAGTAAGAATTTATGCAACTGAAACTGAAGATACAGGAGACTGCTTCACATATCAGCACTTCCCAAGCTATGAGTACAAAAGTACTTGTGATCTCGAAAAACCTAGAAATAACCACCTGATTGTGGTTTATACCTGTCCCATTCTAAGAGAAACTGCATGTTCTGTGAGTTTGAAGCCATAAAAACGAATCATTCAGAAGAACACTCTAAGGAAGGAACTATATTTCCTTCAAGACCACCACAAGCCTTCACAGCATGGCCAGCTACTTGAAAATCTTGCATGCAGGTGCTATTTTGGTGTGCACAAAGCAAGTTCTTCTCCATAAAGACAAAATGCAATCATTAGAATGAATTGTCTTGACTTAGTTAAAATACATCCAGTCATACAGCTTTTAGGGACATGGTCTCTACACCATGTTCTCATGCATCCTAGGGAAGCTACCATTATTCATCTATTCACAAGATATTGGAACTTTGAAGAATTACTTTGAGTAAGAGATAAAATTAGAAGAGCTGGAAATACACCAGGAAATGTGCCTTTGTTTCAAGGCTGGAACACTGGTGACTGCTTGTGCTCAGAGACAGATGATCTGGAAAGGATTGACTCTGTGATGAGAAAGAAATAGGCAGTGTGCTTAGAAGAGGAGCCCACCACAGGGAGGTCAGTTTGCTTACATGAATCCAACCTAAGGTGAGAAGCCCCAGCTCTTCTTGAATAAAAAGAAGTTCCTCCTCATTCTAAGCATAACAATAATCAGGCTCTCCATTCTGCACAGGGGTTATAGTATGAGTGACATGATATTCTTCCTTTACCTGCCAAGAGAAAACAACTTGTTACAATTCCCTGGCACTGTCAATCCCACTCTCTCACAGCACAAGTAAATGAAGCCCCCACCCCAGTGAATGAATCTCATCCTTCTCCCTCACCTCAGTGTTTCTCCACCCGAAACACTGCTCCAGTGCTTTGCTAGGTACTGTATGAAGGCACAGAGGATAAGATGAACCTGACATGTCCCTCCTAGCACAACCCAGGACTAGGGTCTTCCCTGCAGCAGCCCAGTAGGCCTGCATGAGGGTCTTGAAGTGTTTAATTTATATTCCAAGACTTACCAGAGAATAGGTGATCAGACCAGGCCACAAAAGGAATTGAGTCCTCCTTTTAGAATTAGTCAATATGCCTGTCTCCATGCCTCACACCAGACATTCTGTGTGGAAGCCTGCCTGCTTTTACTTCAATGTCTCACTCTGTATGTGAGCCAGGTTTGAACTTGCAAGAAGCCTCCAGCCTCAGTTTGCCAATGACTGGAGTTACAGGCATTAGCCACCACTAGAGTAAAAATTTCTATCTATACCATTGAAACAAATAGCTCAGTTCGGAGGACTCTGAAAAGCAACCAATTGCAAAATCATTAAATTCAAAGTGGCCAGGCCTTGTCATCCATGGTTTCTTCTGTGGAGTGATATGTATGGACATGGCCCCTGGATATGTTTTCTAGGAGTCATGGGAACGTAGCTAGAGTTTTTCTGGTCCTGCCTGGCCCACAGTCAAAACAAATCTCTCTCACCTGCCAGTCCCATATCCACTCAGACCCCACCAAGTAAACATATAGAAACTTACATTATTTATAAACTGTATGGCAGTGGCAGGCTTCTAGCTAGCTGTTTTTATATCTTAAATTAACCCATTTCTATTAATCTATAAATTGTCATGTGGCTAGTGGCTTACCGATATCTTAATATCTTCTCATGGCGGCGGCTGGCAGCATCTCTCTGCCTCAGCCTTCTACTTTCCCAGAATTCTCTCTCTCTTTTTTTTTGTCCCACCTATACTTCCTGCCTGGCTACTGGCCAATCAGCACTTTATTTATCTATCAATCATCCACAGCATGGGAAGCCAAGTGGGAAGAAACAGTGTCAGATCAAGCAATTTTCCTATCTTTACCAGTGTCCTGCATAAGACTCCGCATGTTTCTGTCCTTTCTTGGTGTTCTTCTTTGCAGAATGGAGGAACTGATGTCATAAATCCTTTGGAAGGACCACAGGGCAGAGGCCTTTGGAGTTTGGAACTGCAATGGAAAAGAGAGAGAAGTCTGAGGTTACAGGGCCTGGTGTCCGTGAGCAGAACTCAGTCTGGTAGCCTGGAGGAACAATACGAAGTCATAGGTATGCTCTCCAGCTGCCCCCCTCCCCATGATGGAACCACAAAGCAGGCAGGGAGTTTTTTTTCCAAGCTCTGGCCACAGCTGAATGGTAGCTGTGAGCATGGACTTTACTATCAGCTTGAGTGGATGGAACAACATATTTCTGAGTGGGTTGTAAAATTGGTTGTAAAGAAATTTCTGTGTGGGTTCATAGACTCAGTGGGCAAAGTGCCCTCTCAACTCTGGTGGACAACATGAAGGCATGTGGGAGCTAAACAGGACAAACAGACAGAGAAAATGTAAACTTCTGCTGTGTCTCTCTAAGGACAGACACATCTTCTTTATTTCTCATTCATATGTCCAAGTCTGCTGGCCTCTGGACTCTCAGGTCTGGACTTATGTTTCCCTGGGTCCTCATGGGTCTTGAGACTGAGACTCACAAAAGTGACTTCCATGGTCTGTGCCTTTCAGACTTAGACTGAGCCAAACTACAAGTATTCCAGAACTTCCACTTGAAGAAAGCCTGTTGTGAGCATGGTCAGTCATGTAGACCATTTTCCCCAAGAGCTGTGAGGCCACAATAAACCCCACCAGATTTCAAGAGGCTGCAGTTGCATGAAAGCATACACAGATTTTCTCAAGGTCATACCATTACAGAATGTCCCTAATAGGGCATGTCGTAGGGATGGAGAAAAACCTTGAGACCCTGGAACTACAGGGTCACCCATGGGCACATACCACCTAGAAAAGTTGCAGCCTCAAATCCAAATGTGAGTGAAGATGGTACACTTAGCCCATCAAAGTCCCAAGGACAGATGGCTCCACTTAGCTGGGACCAGTCATCCCTCTCCTGGTTATTTCCCCCAGTCCAGTAGGAACTGAGCAGCTTACTCCTGCTTCTTCAGTATTGTACAGATGTGTAAATTGTTGAGTACACAAGCTCACAGCTGGGAAAGGCTAACTCTCTCACCTGTGCCTAATTGAGACAGAGCATTGCAATTTGGCTTGCTCCTCATTCAAGAAGAGAGTTTGACACTTGCAAGGCAAGACAAGAATCAACCAATACTTTAGAAACATCTGAAAAGCCAGCCTTGGTGATGCATACTTGGAATTTTAGCATTTGCTTGCTGAGGTGGCAGGATCTCAATTCAGACCTAATCAGGTTTTAAAGCCAAATTATACAAATGAAAATTAAAAAATAAAACATGAAATAAATTAGCTGAGATATTTGAGAACTTTTTTCTGCAATAATTGTAATTTCCCTTTTGAAATCCTTTATGTATGAACTGTGAGTGTATTTGCACATTTCCATGATCTGTGTTTGTTTTTCAGAATGTGCACGTTGATGTGTGAGCAAGGATGCACAGGTGCTTCAGCACATCTGCCTTCATACTCCTTAGCATGATGTCTTCAGAGTGTGATTTTTAGGCTCTTGGCTTTTTCAAAAACGTTATTTATAATCTGCAATACAAAACAGAAATGGAGAATTAAAACAGTTCTAATGTCAGAAAAGAGAATAAGAAAACAAGTGGGGAGAGGCAGCAGTATCTCATGCATGACTTGAACCCCATTCCCGGCCATCCGTCTCCTCTGCACTGCTATGCTGAGGCAGCATCAGCTCCCCTCCTACCCATACTTCCTGCCTGGCTATTGGCCAATTAGTGTTTTATTAAACCAGTATACAAAAGCAATATCCCACAGCATCCAAGAGATTCTCACTGGGGAAATACACTGCTCTTAAGTGTAGGCTGCATGCCCAGCAATATATAGCCAACAAAATAAGACCTCAGCCTCATCATTAGAGGCTCCTTGTCTCATAATGTTATGTCAGTGTTTTTCCTAAAAAAAAAAAAAAAAAAAACTATCTTCATATTTTTTTTTATTTTATTTATAAATCTTTTTTCTCTCTTTTTCTCTACAGGACCTTGGTGCGTACAGCTTCCATTTTGTATTTTGTGTTATTCCTGAGTTTGAGAACAAGTGGGTATCTACATCTGTATCTGGTTCTTGTGCCTTTACTTGAACTCGTTTCCTTCTGTTTGTTTTGTGTGTTTTTTATATTCAAATGTGTCAGTTTTTGTTTAATCTTATTATATTTTATTTTATTATTATCCCTTGGATGACTGTTGGTTTTCTAATTAGAGACAAGAGGTGGATCCAGATGGGAGGGGAGGCAGAGAAGAAATGGGAAGAATGGAGAGAGGGAAAACTATGATTAGGACATATTGTGTGAGAAAACAAAATCTATTTTCAATAAAAGGAAAGATAAAGAAAAAATTTAAAATTAATAAAAAATAAAGTTCAGAGAGTCAAAGGCTGCCATGTACTGGGACTTAAGAGCAGAGGAGTTCAAAAGTGTGTCTAGAGTAAGGGATAGTCAAATTGAACCAAGAATTGCTAGTATCTTCCTCCTCCGTGCATTGAGAGCCTGACATGTGGAGGTCCAGCTTCCTCTCTGACCTCCTGCCTCAGGAATAGGACATAAGTAAATGTGAAAGGGTATAGGACCTTGAAAGTAAAAACTCTCTCTAGATTCTAAAAAATGTTGAGGTAAGAGCCTTAGAACAAAGTTTCTCTGTGTGTGTGTGTGTGTGTGTGTGTGTGTGTGTGTGTGTGTGTGTATCTGTCTGTCTGTCTTGTGATTTTTGTCACAAGATGTAAGTTTTCAGATGTTTCTGCTGTCATGCCTTTGCTCTACCATCACAGACTCTAACCTTCTGAGACCATAAGCCAAATACATGATTTATGATAACTTGCTTGGTTATGATGCTTTGTTGTCTTTGTTTTCCATATGCATATTTTTTAGTATATTTGTCATCTCCTTAGGAATTCTCAAAATATTGAGAAGAAAAAAAGCAACTTCTATGGTGATATTTTATTTGTATTAAAATGTTATTTGTATGTTAATAAATAAAGTTGCCCAGGGGTCAGAGCTATTAGCAAGCCATAGGAAAGCTGGGCAATGGTGGCATGCGCTTGTAATCCCAGCACTTGGTTGGCAGAGCTAGGTAAGTCTCTGTGTGTTCAGGGACACAGCCAGTATTGGATACACATGCCTTTAATCTCAATACCAGCCATAGAAAACCTGGAGGTCTATACAGACAGGCCATGACGAGGCGGTCATGTGGTTGGGTTTACAACCAATGAGAAGGCAGAACAGAAACTCTATATAAAGACTTTAATACAGGAAGTAGCTCTGGTTTGGAGAGGTAGGACCACCGCAGGAGGAAGGGTGAGGTTTTAGCTTTTAGCTCTGACCTCTTGGCTTTTTCCTTTGCATTGGTTCTGTGTTTCTTATTTAATAAGATGGTTGGTCACATCTACAAACTTCTATCAAGGGTATCATGTGTGAGCAAGTTCCCGCTGAAAAATCAGGGGAGAGAAATGTTTTCCCAGAGAAGAGAGAAGGTGTTTCACCTCATAAGAAATTGAGCAGAAAGTCCTTCAAGTGATGAAAGAATATCAACTAGCAACCCAAAAATCATATGAAAGTGGAATTTATTGTAAAAGTACAAATGTTATCCAATTCAGAATATTAAAATATTGTAAATGGTGCTGCATAAATAATTTGTTAGTCTATTTAAAATGCTGAAAAACAAAAATTTTGAAAATAACTACTACCAAGACAATTCAACAGACTTTTAATCTCAGTTTCAAACTGTGGTGGCAGTAACAAACCATGAAGGAGGCTATCAGAAGAAAAGTTAAATTTGCAGCTTGGATCTTATGAGGTTAAAATTGAATGTTATAAAATGTTTCACTAAATTCTCGTGGTCACTGTAAGGAATAACCTGTGGTAGATGCATCAAAGGCAATCAGAACCAAGCCACAGCTTGCCTCTCTCCAAACCTTCAAACCTTGTGTAAGAAAATGGCAGGAACAAGAAGAACTGAGAAAGGGTCTGAAACAGTGGGCAGCACAGAAGGCAGCAGTCTGTACCCAGCAGTAATTGCTTCAAATTCTAATGGATAAGCTGATGATGCATGAAAGAGCTGGAGACTCTTTTCAAAGAACACTTCCTTGATGCACAAAATAAATAAAGAAACAGATTACACAGCACTTCACAATAAATTAATACAATTTTGTTCTTGGACTGTATCCAATAGTAAATCCTTGTCTATGGATAATCACTTTAATGATTTATTTTTATTTTGTGTGTGTTTCTTGTCTGCATGTATGTGTACCTCATGTGTACAGTGCCTATAGAGGCCAGAAGAGGGCACTCTATTCTTTGTATCTAGGGTTACAGATGGATGTGAGTGACCCAGTGGGCACTGAGAATCAAACCTAGTGAGAGATCTTTACTGCTGAGTCATCTCTCCAGCCCCTAGATAATTACATTAAATGACAATGAATTATCAAATAAAAAGATATAGAATAATTGAATGAATTAAAATATAAGATCCAATGATATGCTACATTCAAGAGACAGATGTTAAGGATCTATATAGGCATAAAAGGAATGATGGGAAATGAGACCCATTTAAATTGTCACCAAGGTTGAATGGAGATGTATTTTCATAGATCATGCAAAATAGTCTTTAAAGCAAAAAATGCAAAAATATAATATAGATCAAAACAGAAATGAATAAAATAGGCTCATGGAAAACAGTTGAAGATATTAACAAAACTAAGAGCTGTGTTTTGAATATATAAACAAATTTGAAAATATTTTAGGAAATAAAAAAGAAAGGAAAAGTCAAATAAAAATATAAATGAAGACAAATGATACCACAGAAATGCAAAGGTTCAAGAGAGATGATTATTAACAATTAGAAAAAGTCAAACTGGAAAGCCTAAAAGGAATTGATAATCTTTCAATTTATAAATAGAGAAACAGGACATCCAAATATATAAATAACGAATTGATGCAATCACTGATTAATTATCTTCTTACAGATTGGAGGTGGGATGTCCAAAGGGCCCAGGTGTC